GGAAGAGCATTGGCCAGGAAAGTCTTCCTCAACAACGGACTCCCTCCATCTTGGCTATCCTCGCTGCACGCTCTGGTTATAAGTATCCTTGGACTTCTTCTCGGTGTTTCATTCATTGCTATGGAGCAACCAGCGCTCATGTCTACGCCTATGAAGTCGCTTCTGTAGTGGGGACCCATCAGGCTGGCTGCGCTCGCGCTGGACCTCACTAATTTACTGCTTTCACCTGCGTATGCGGATTAAAGTTACACGTGTGACGGTTGGACACCTGTCCAATGTGGAACGAGTGGAGGAAATCGGTGGAGAGTGACGAAACGACTTTTAAAATTTAAGCTCGGTAACCTGATTCGGAAGTAGGTACTCGAAGGGTATTGCACGAGGCGGCAGGTTGCAATCTGCTTCGATGAAAGCCGAGATTATTGCTGTCGAAGCTGTTTCCGGTTCTGCAGGATCCCAGTGCCAACAGAGCCTCGCTGAGCCTTCGCTGTAGTGGTGGGAATGGGAAGAAAGAACCAGTTCCGCTTCCGGACGGTCTACGCGATCCTGCTGCGCTCGGGGTCCTCGCCTGGATCTCCTAAATCAGCGGCCATTATGAGCAATGATCTTGGAACATCACGTTTGGGGAAGGAATTTATGGATCGCTCGAATCGTTAATTTAATAGACGAAAGAAATTGGAAGAGATAAAGAAGGCAAGGGAAAATGCTAATTTTGCTCGAAGAAATCGAAGGCTTGGCTGAAAGCTCGACGAAACTGAAGAATGATTCAGGAACATTGCGAATTTTTATTCCAACACTCGAGAAGCAAAATTTGTTGAATGGTCGATGATCAATTTGAATAATTATTCGATCGTTCGTTATGAAGGAGAAATTCAAGAAGAGGTTGAATAATTTCGAGGACTTTTTTCAACAAGTGGAATTTCAAATTTATGAATCTATTATATCAAAATGACGTGCATTTTTTGAGTAAAATATCGCGGAAGAGAAGATTGCGATAGATTCGCTGCAGCAAAGTTCCGAAGCGAAACTTTGCAGCCACTGACCTCCGAGGGGATTTAATTTGCATAGATTTATTACGGGCAGGATCTCGGCTCTTTATTGGTCGACTGTGTTCAGTTTGACGAACACGTTCGTCGCGAGAATATTTTTTTCCCCATTAAAAAGTCCGTGGAAAAAACTGCCAGTAAGAACCGAGTGTTACCTATAATTCACGAATGGCTCTGCACTGAAAAGCAAATTCCTAGGAAACGCACGAGCTGTGCAATCGTGTGAATAATTACGTAGGAAATGTTTGTTAAGTAATAATTTCCAGACGTGTAAGCTAAATCCGTGAGCCGGTATGTATCGAGACACGAAGATCTTTTCGTTCGTTGCAAACTTAAACGCAAAAATGATATCAAATCGAGTATAATTACTTGTTGAAGTTCCGACTTTGTCGCCTTTTTCCGCCAATAATTCTTCACCGATCGTCTAAGGGTCTGCGATTTCAAGCCGTAGAGGAGGCCGTTGATGGGCGGTGAACAGGCGAGCAAGAGGGAGGCCAACGACGTGAGATTGGAATGGTCGTGGAGGTGCGGTTGATTGCCGACGTCGCAAACTTCCCAAAGAATCAGACCGCAGTACGGAAAATAAAGCAAGTACAGTGAACCAACCAGTTGCATTACCTGCAAAGCCAATATCATGGTCACTATGCATGGAGTAATTTAAATAACAATTAAACAGCGTGCCGCACGACGAGCCAGGGCATCGGCGGATGAAAGGAACTCGTTAGATGGAATTACGCGATTAATATATCAGCGAGAATGTTATTCCAAGGGTGATTAACACGGACACTTTGTTCGTTCGCACTGACGAATTGCACGAGAGAGAAAGAGGGTGTTGATTGCACGTAAAACCGAGCCAAGTCGATCGATTTGGTATGCTAACTTTCTGCAGAAATCCAGTTCCCGGCCGGGGTTTTAAATCATGTTCCAGTCGAGTTGCTCGATTTAACGTCCACCGAGATATCGATAATTAAAACTTCCCGTTTGACTTTGCTAATGAATTTTTCTTCTTTAATCGATCACGATCGACCGAGATAATTCTCAGGTATTCAGAAGGAACACATTGCGGTCACTGTTCTCTTATTTCCCACGCTTACGAGTATTTATACCGTGTTTATTCGTTTCAAGCATTTCAAAGAACCTGTTTATGCTAAACAGATGCACGAGTTATCGATTGTTAAATGATCGTCACGTGACAAAACTCTTTAGCATTTGGGATTCGAAACATGGCGTACGATGAATATTCATAAAACTCTCCTAAATATTATAAGTTTGAATTGCACTTGAAAAATCAAGAACTACTTTCGGAATTTTTTTGACCAAAAATTTGCATATCTCTGCACGACAAAGTGCTAAAAAATTTTTGTTTGGATTTAGATAAAATTTTCCTTTATTTCCTTCATCTGTATTGCAATAATTTTATTATTATCTTTGCCAGTATTGGCAGGAGCTATTACTATATTATTATTTGATCGAAATTTTAATACCTCTTTTTTTGATCCAATAAGGGCAGGTGATCCAATTTTATATCGACATTAACACACCCTGCAATTTTTAGTATTTCCTGAAATCGAGATTGCTCGAATGTTACGCGTACATCCCTGTAAAGAAGTTGAATTTTCTTCTCCGGTGTCATGCATTTTCTGCAAACTAAATCCACGTACACGAGATAACGAAGCTAACCGAAAGCTAATCCGATTAATCTCATCTGTCGGATCGGTATCTTGAAATCCGAGCAGGCAGTCGTTCGAAAATTAAAGCACGCGTGCAAAATTCGCAGAGGTTGGAATTCCCTCGCAACATTGTTGGTCGCGCGTGTCCATGCGAAATTACGAGCTCGTCGTTCGGCACGACACGCTTTGGCCGCGCGAAATTGTCCGCGCGACACGGTATATTACGTCCATTACGCGGACGACACGCGATACGAGAATTATGCAGTGCAAACAGAAATTACGCGGACCTGGGAATGTACAAACCGTTTTGGCCGCGCTGTGAAAGCGGGGCGGGTTGACGACTGAAGGTGCCGTGACAGTGGGTACGAAAAACGGATTCCGTTGATGGGTGATGGTCGCCTGGGCGCTCAGGGTGACTTCGTAAATTGCGCTCGCGATGCGATGCCGGTGATAACGCGCGATGCCGAGCACACGCAAATTGCACACGGTTACGAGGATCGCGGGCAGCGCCAGACCCAGAATCGCATAAGCTGCCCCGTAAAGCGCCGACGCCCACGAATTGTTGCCGAAATTCGGCGCGCAGCAACCCAGCCCTGGACTGTATCTGCAGTAACAATAACGTTCAAGAACTTAATTCTTCGTTATCCCTCTGTCACGCTGCTTGCTTCTTTTAGGGAGACGTGTGAAGCAGGGTATTTAGGGAGCAGGGCGGGTAACGGTGATGGATATACAGGGTGTCTCGTGTCAGGTTTAATTTCGTGAAGTTTAAAGCACTTCGGACGGGGATATAAAATGATACGATATAAATATACCGTATTTTGCTACCATTTTGTACGTGCAATCGAGGTAGACCTTTTAACCCGCTAGATTGAGAAATTTCTTACCTAATTTTATTCGAAAATAGAAATTGTACGTATTTTTATAATGATTTTAAAAACGAACTGGAAAATAGTGGAATCTTAGAAATCTTTTAATTTTACTTGATAAAATTTTGGGTTCCTTTTTGCTGTTTCAAAGTTACTTGGTCTTGTTACGTGGAGTAGTTTGTATATGTTTGAATTGGAAGTTTAGGCGAGAAAAGGGTCCTTTCTTATAGCAGTAGTTGAATTCTTTTACATACCAATTATCCTTCAGGACTGAAATATTTTTCTGTCATCTTTCGACGTAACATTATTTTCGAGCATCTTTGATGATCCAATTTTAATCTTGCTATTTTTCCCGCGTTATATTAGGTGAAGTAAAAAGAAATCCATTATTTTTGCACGAAATTCAATGCAAAAATAATAGATTTCTTTTTACTACACCTAATATAATAAAAGACGAAGTAAGTTAACAATGTTGGCCACCGGCTGAATATTCCAGTATTTCTTTTTACTTCGCCCAATATTTCACGAGCTCGCGAAGAATGCTGCAAATCAGGAAGAAAGAAGCTACTTCCTGCAACTAGAATAATAAAAAAATCCGAGAACTATGTCTCGATTGTCGGACAGAAAAACTATTTCAGTGAGATCGTTAGCAGTTTTAAAAGGAATTTAATTAATCCCAGCCTTGGCACAGTAACATGCACAAGTAACGCGGATGAAATATTACTTTCGATAAAGAAATCGAAACGCTATCTGGGTTGAACTGAACATTCATCATGCGGGAATTAACCAAAGAAAAAACCGTCTTCTTTTAACTCCGCCGGCATAACCTAGCATCTTCTGCGTAAAACGCAAAAGGCCAACGGAAACTCTCGATTTCACGAGACATCGAACACGAAAGAAAAAAAAAATAAACCGAAGAAATGGAACATCGAGTGAAATTTTCAAGGAGGAAACCAACCTGTAAGACGGTACCAGGCCCCAGAAGGGCAGCACGCACAGGAACAGAGCCCCTATCCAAGATGCAGCTAGACCAACTGCAACGCGACGTGGCGACACCAATGCGGCGTAATGCAGCGGCGCTGCGATCGCGTAATATCTGCACAGAAGAAGCCAACTTAAAGCTCTTTCACACGACGATATTTGCATCGTAATACGCTTATGAGAAATACCAAATATGGTACATACACAATTCGATGGAAACGTTTCCTTAAAATACAGTGGACTGTATTGCGCAAATATATTATGCAGCTTTTCTCTATGGATTCCGATTCTTCGCGTAATTTAACGAAAGCGCCGTATGGCGATTCTCAAGTGAAAGAAGAGGATTCGCGATACCGATTTTCCGAAAAAAGAATTAGAAAAATAAAATACCAATTTTCGCTATCTTCGAATATGCTGTCAACGAGAATCGGGTGTGTATGGTACACGTGTATCGCGATTCAGATATCGTGGTGTGAAAAAGCTCTTATGCTTCTAATCGTCGCATGGTCCGCGTGGAAGAAGAATCCTCGACGTCGTTCGAAATCGAATCTTTTTATAGCCCTGTCCCGTTCGACACCCTTAAATGATCGTCCTGGAATCGTCGGAATGCAGCGTGCATAGGTGAATAATGAAAAAGGAGGTGGCGAAGAGGAACGACAGCGAAGAGAAAAGGTCGCGACACGGTGGAAAAGGAATGCGGGAGTTTAAATTCGCGTGGGTCGTGAATAAAATATCGAACGCGTTCGATCGGCCTGAAATCGGGCAGCCACGATATTTCCATGTAATGGAAGAGGTACGTGTCTCTTTGTATTTTTATCCGCCCTCAACCTAGACTATTTTTCCTCGTTTCTCGGGCTTGGTAAATATTTATCATCGAAGGTGTGATTTTGGACGACATAGAATCGCGTCTCCTTAAGTAGCAAAGGATTCGTATTGTAGGATTAACGCTAAATTAATCCCATTCCCGCCAGAGATCTGCGCGTCTAATAAACAACGACTCCTTTTTAATAACAAAGCAGATTTATTTAAGTAAAATATTACACTAGGTTCCTCTCAATTCTCTAACTCTCAAACACACGATTCTCTACTCACCGTGACTCGAATTCTACCTTGCCCGCGTCCTTGCACCCTTATTTAAAGTCTAACATTCTCTCTTTTCATGCACAAGCTCTCTTCGTTGGTCACTCATTTCCCACACTACCTCGACCTTGGTGGGCCAGGTACTTGAGACACTCGGACATATTCCCAGACTTTCGTTCATTGCTTGCACTCGACCTGGTCATAAATATCTCATCCAAACAATCCTTGCACATGGTCACCCGTCCATCCGCATGTACTCCAGACATCACCCCCTGAGCGTTCTCATGCATTCACTTCAAACTAGGACCACACACCCATTCGACTCGCTGTCGTTCTTAATACTGTTTCCTTTGTTAGAGACAAAGCTGAGAATGCGCAGCTCGCAATACCACAGTATTACTATCCAGTCTCGCGAAAATTCGAATAGTTAGCATAAGGAGCAAACGAAGTCGTTACCTGCAGCTACTTAATTAACTATTGAAATATTTCCGACATAGTTTAGTGGCAGCTTGTATCCTCAACGTTTTTACTACGTGCTAACTTTGGTAGTAACAGCTTTGCTGACGACGAAGGCTAGAATGGCACGATAAAACGTCCCGTACCGTGTTCATTATCGATGAACGAGACTCGGTCGAGATACCAGGCCGTTTACACGTTCCTACGATGTAATTTGAGGGAGCATTGGACCTTCTCTGCCCCTGGGACTATAGGCAGGAGCAGTGACGACGAGACGGTGTGTCGAAGGGTTTCTGATTGAATCGAAGATCTGGCGTCGGTTGACGGCCAAAGAGATATCTGGGCTGAATACTGGGAACCGCTATTGACATTCGACGGTGAAAAGCTTGCCAGCTTTGTGCCACGTAAGGCTCGTTGAACGTCGCCGTGGCATCGGATCGAACTCGATTTTTCTATCGCTGTGCTATGGGAGACAAAGGACTTCCGATTCCATGGCCCCTCCATTTTGCCGCTGCGGAGACGACAATGGTTTTTCGACGCAGTCTGCACGACGAACCGATAAGTCAGTCGTTCCGTGTTCATTGAACATCGAATTAACTAAACCCTAGTATAAGGTACCATAGTTGAATCTCGGTAGCTAGTGTCTCAAGGGAAAACTAAAAACGAGTTAAAGTGCTTCGACCGCGTAACTTATACGATCTTATTTAATTATTTTATCACGTAACAAAGAATAATCAAATGATCCACGTGTACAACGATCGTGAGAGGAGTTAAAATATTCGATAGAAGAACAAAGAAACGGGGGATACTTCTATTCTCGAAGAACAATATACGTCCTCGATATATCGTACCTCTATAAATTACAAAATTCGACCATGCGTATTTTACATCGCAAATGAAACGCGGAACGGAAACAAACAATTTCGCGTAAATATCGGGATCGCCAAGGATATTATATTATACATTGGCTATGATAATACAGGTGTCTGCAAATATCGAAGCTACCCGGGACGAATTTACAAAATTGATTCAACAAATATAGCTACTTTATGCTTAGTAAACACCACGACCGAAATTCCCCGCAGGTTCTTGCCGAAGGAATAACAGAGCTTTAGCACGCAGTGGATCATGAAATTTGCGCTATAAATCAGACACGGTCGGGATTCAACAAACAGCTGGACGATAAAAGAATTCGATTTCGAATACGAGCTTGAACTCTGCGTAGCCTGAAAATAGAAGGAAAAGGTGCGAGCACGAACTCACCTGTCACAGTTCAATCCAGTTACGGTCCAGAGTGCGACCGGATGCAGGAGAGCGAGGAGAAACCCGTGGAGAACGCACCAGGTGCCAGCGATAGCCCAAGAACCAGTGGTAAAGATCAGTAATATCAGACACACAGCCGCCTCCACGGCTCCCAAGTGTATCAGCAACAAGGTATTGGCGGTCTGTTGCTGCTGCGTCTGCGGACATTGGTCGTGATACGCGGTTAACTCGTTAAATAAACTTTTCCACGGCGATCAAAAGTTTCTGTGCAACGTGCAATCTTAATTTCTAGCTGAGATCTTGTAATTTAAACTTCTCGCCGTTTGCACGCGATCCCTCTCCCATTTTCTTAAACGTTACTCGTCCACTTCTTTACAGTGGAAGGAATGCTCGGAACGGGTGGAACGTGAATTTATGTAGTACGACTCTTAATTTGATGTTTATGGAATAATTAGCTTCGGAGACTTTAAGGTTTCTTCAACCGAGTTGCAAGAATTGGAGTCATTAAAATGTGCTCCCAGCTTGTAGCTTGTAGCTTGACACTGGAGTCGCCTGACCTAACGCTAGATTTACGGAACCCGTCAATTTGACAGAAGGGTTGCTCCAATTATACGATGGTAACAGATTTAGTTAACTTATATTAAGACTGTTAATATAATATATAATTGTTTTTAAATTAAACTAATCGTTAAAAAGAAAATGGTACGTGGATTCCTTTACCTGTCAATTTGACAGGTGTTCTTAGAAATAGGTATACAGAGAGCGTCCGTAAACTTAGTGTCAAATACAGTACAGTGTATAATATGTACATTGTATATAAGAACGAATGATATTAATAATAATCAAGTTGCAATAACCAGAGGAAATTAATACCTCTAAAACTTGGGAGAGAATAATCTGAATCCAATCATGAACCAATGAAATCTGAATCGGCAACACGGTATTAATTTTAAGCCTGAATATTTAGACCTACTCCATAGATGTTTCATTTAAATGTACTAGCAGTCGTACATACTATTTTCCCTTTATCTTATCGAAAGGGATATTCGAACCTGAGTAAAAGTAAATTGGTATAGGAAATTAGGAGAACGTTTTTATGTATTTCTACGCGTAATTAATTGCAGTGTGAGAAATTTGTTCATACGTGTCACCAGAGTTTCTTGTCCATCGATGACATAATTCTGACATGTATGGCTATATTTCAGACGTTATTCGCGTGAAACAAAATGGGAAATCCGTGGGGGAGTATCGAGTAAAGGAACGCATTTTATGCGACCTACTTCGCCGGCTGTCATTCAACGTCCGGCCTTCGATATTATATCGAAAAGCATGCGATCTTTTCTAACCACTGGGTAGCCTCGCGTTGTTCAAACTGCCATGGTCAGCCAGCAGCACCCGCTAAAATGGATAGCGTAAAAGGATAAGGCTATTTCCAGGGTGACCACTTTCCTTCCGCGAGTTTCATTTCTTCGTGGAGAAATGTGTCATGCTTGCGAAAAGACTGGCTTTCTCTTTCTCTGGTCAAAGGAGACCGCTTTAAAAGGCGGGATTAGCCGCCATTGGAAAAATCGCTCGGGTCTTCGTGGATCTTAATCCCGTATTAATTCCCAGAGTGCTCGATTCTATAATGTAAAAACCTCCTCGGAAATTTTTCTCGGAAAATCGAGCTACGTGTCGCGTCTTTTACACGGTTCGAAGCCATGGCTTGGGATCTTCGTTGTTTAAAATTGCGATTGCAGATTATTCGACAATTTTATCTTTTATTTTATATTATTTCGACGTGATACGTAAACCAGCGAGCAAGGAGGGATCAATCGTAAAGACAAATATGGAGACAGAAAATTGGAGAAAAGTTTGAGAAGACAAAGTTTGTTTGATAGTTTGGTCTCGAAGGTAATGTTATACGGTGCTGAAATTTTTTGATGGAAGAATAGAGTGGTTTAAAGGTGAATAAAGTGCGGATAAAGTATGTGAAATGGTGTTTCGCAGAGGTGTGCGAGGTCTCGAAAATGTCGACTCGTGAAACGAGAATTTTCTTAAGGATTCCCTGAGAATTCCCTAGAGAAAATTCAAAGAGTCGCTTGAATTTTTAATACTATTCTTTGCCTTCCGTAAATACGGTTTAAATAATTTAGAAATTTCGGTATTACGGGGAAACTGAAGCTCCGCTTCGACAAATAGTATTTCAATATTTCGGTTCGTTTCTGTTTCGAGAACTAATCAAACGCGTGTTTGCTCGAACGTTCGCGAGCAACTATGACAATAGTAACTCGTAACTAGACCAAGACGCATTCAAGCATAGATAGCGCGCAATCAGTTTAACGGCCCAACGTGTATTCCCAACCGATAACATAATTGCTTCGATTCTGTGCGGGAGCTTTCAATTCATTAAGGATCCAGACACCTTTTCTAATTCGGCCAGAATTTCATCAACCGTGATTTCGTCGGCCGTCAAAGCTCGATGCTAATGAATTTTCCTCGATTTATCGTCCAGCTTTTCATACGCTATTAAACTTCATTGTGTGTCCTCTGTCCCTGATAACACGGCCATCAAGGAAGACCGATAGCCTATTGAATAATTACTGCAGTGTCAGTGATCTATTGTCTGCAAACAAGCATTCTCTTGTTCCTTAAGAGCACTCGCGATTGAAAAATTCTTATAAACTTGTAATTCCTCGCCATCTTAACCATCTCGAAGATAATTAAACGGCCCATTCTACTTAAAAATTTCTCGCATAGAGTGATTTCAAATCGTCAGTATTAGAAACATAATTTACTATACGAAGGATACCATTTTACGTTAGACTTCAACTTTGATAATTTATTTGCGTCGAACCTGTTATCACGATTAACTTGAGCTTTATTTATTATCAGTTACAATTTTACTAAAATTAATTTCTCCCCAAAAATCGCTCTACTATCCACCCACATACCACTGGAAACTCGAAAAAGTAGAGACCAAGAATTTCCCAAACCAAGAAGTTCCACACCCAAGACCCCCATTTCCACGAACAGCTTTTTCATACCAACTCCATGGTACCCAGCACGCAGACCACGTGGCCTAGCCATGGAACTATCTCGCGAAAGTAGCAATCAGCGGAATTTCGGACCGAAGGAGAGTTTTGTTATTCACCTGTTTGCCCAGCCCGAGAACCACGAGGAGAACGTAACCGTTGAGAAAAAGACCCAGAGCAGAAACGAGGACGAGAAGCACGCCAAAGGCCCAAGGGACCATTCCTCTTCCTCCAGCTTGGTTGTCCGCCTTCGAAGATGTTGGCTCCGGGAAATGGAACAGGTCGGTCGTTGCTGCTCAAGTGTCTAGCCTCTGTTCCGCGATCCACGGTGTCATGATGGCGGATGCACCTGAAACATCTGCCACGATGGCCACGGTATCGATCAGCCCATCGAAATAATTAAATTAAGTCGCGTTAATGTCTGCCATGACTTCGTGCCGGTTTCAAACTCCAACTACGATGATTGGACCAACTTATGGCGGTTAACGACTCGTGCAGGATGCAGTAACTTTGACAGGAGGACGATAGAGGATTCTAGAGGATATCGGAGAAGACGTGGCAATGAGCACCGACTTTTTGGAGACTAATTCGCAAGATACTGCCAATTATTCGACGGTCCGTCTCGTGCCAGGATTGCAATTAGCTAGTGTGGCCCTTGGAGGACGCAGGAGTAGCGTGTGTCGACAGTACTGTCAATCAATGTCTGTTTGCGCGTATGAGATTATGCTTGACTAGGGTTATCCTTGCATACGGGATGAAACGCGAAATTGCATCTCGGAGGACAAATTTTTACCGTTTACGTTTGTAAGTTTGGGTTATGGAAATTCAGGATCTGCAAATATGGTAATATTTTTATATTCGTCGTTTAACGATGACGAAGATTCGAAGATTGCTTGGAAAAATTTTTGCGAATGTTTCCTCGAAGTTTCGTGGGATTGGCATTAATTGACACTAATTTGATTAATGAGGTAGCACGATAGAGCATACTATAGGGGTAAGTTTTACAATTTTTACCACGTGTTCTACCGCGACGTGGTATCGATTCATAAACGAGGTATCGGTTTGGTCAAGGCCGTTACATCGGGACACGAAAGGTCATCGGTTGTGTGGCGAGGTTCTCGATTCACCGCCAAATATGTCAATTAACGATGCCCGTTACCGCGGAGATATATTGAATAATACATCAGTTGTTGCAGAAACGAACATAGTAACGATCTACTTCCGATTAACATGGAATATTGCATTTTAATCCGGATCGTTACCTCGGCGGTATAAGGAAACAGGATACGAAACATCGTGTATCAATTCGAATTCTCGATTGGATTACGTAAAGAATCAATCGTGTTACGAGTTATGGTATCAATTTCGTGGAACGGCAAACAAAGTTTACGTAAGGAAACTTATCGAAAAAGACCATGATATTTTATTGAATTCTTTTGCTCGCGATTGGCTACCTTTCACGATATTCCGTTGGATCGTTATTTTTCTTTCGAAAATTCAAAAAATTAGAAACTGCGCGTGTTTGAAAATTCCTTCTAAATTTGGCTTTGGATCTTTACCTCGAGGCACCGCTTGTATACGCCACTTGCGCGCTGTATAGTGTCAACTATACCAAAATGTTGCTGGTAATTTACATAGACGTCTGTGTACCCTCGTTTGACACGAATTTCCATCCATCGCGAACTATCACCGTTGATACCATAAATTAAGGGGAGTAGAGGCAGAGTCGCTAATAATTTGATTTATCAGAGGCAAAGGCTAACGAGTTTTAAGACTGTCAAGTTAGGGTCGAGCTCGCGAATAACATGGCACAAACACGGTCGATCCGCGGTATGATAAGTGCTGCGGGCGAAAATTACAACTGACGGCTCAAGGTGATGCAAATGCTGGCTAATCCGCTAATGTCTCGCCGCTGCATGACGCGAGCAGGACGCGCTTGCGATAAATCCTGTCAATGAAAATCCTTGTTGCACTACTCGCGTCAGACTTCGCGTATCTACAAATACGAACCCCCCCTCCCCCCCTCAAAGTCGTTTATAAAATAATTTATTCCTTTCGACGGAATCCATGCATTTCGAAACGCTTCGCGTATGAGCCAATGCTAACTTGCGTCAAAATGATTGACTTCAAACGTCAGAATTAAAACCCATGCAATGTTATAACAACGTTGTAACCTATATAGAGTTATACAAGGGGAATTAACCCTTTGCACTCGATGACTTTTTCGTTACAGAAAAATAGTAATTCGAAAACTTTCTGTCATAGAGTCGACGATATTTTTAAAATGGTAAATGAGAAATCATATGCAAATTATGCAAATTAGAATTATTTTTCTTAACGTCGATCTTTAGAATCTGATTAAATGGTAACTGAGAGTCATCTCTCGAGTGCAAAGGGTTAAAATAAAAATAATAATAATAACACTGTACAGGGATGTTTAACTTTTCGTGTCTAAAGGAAATGTCAATTTTTTATTTCGATTAATTAGGCGAATAAACGACTCGTATAGAAATCTGAAGCAATACTTACAAACGTAAATTTTGTCATCTGTATAGAACGTGGTACAGCCTGAGATTTTCTAGAAGACGATCGTTTGACTGACTGGCTGAGACATTGCATATGTAGAAAGGCCAATGAAGAACGAGTCGGAACGAGAGCAGATTTCGTTGTATTATACGTATAATGACGCGTTCCCCTCGTGAATATTGTTTTCCGGATCACGAGCAGCCAGTCGACAGCATAATTTGGTTATGCTGCCATTCAGGCAGTTCCATTATCGACCATTAGCCGGTTTCAACCTTTATACCGAGACAACTCGCGGCACTGTCTACTTCAATCGTTTAGTTCCTTGTTTCAGCAGCCTCGAGATTTAATGTACTATACCCGTGGAGGAAGCCGATAGAGATGTTCGGTCGCTTGTGTAACATTGCACGTTCTTGTTACGAGTCTTTGTTATTGTCGTTGGAAAGATTCCCAATTAACGTTAAAAGTGACCAAAAGCAAGCAGAAATTCGTTTAAGATCAAAGCGAATTTGGAATTCTTAGTTGCGGGGTATATCCAGCAAATTTCTTTTCGGAACGATTGGTAGCGATACCGATTGAACTTTCCCAACTTTGTCAATATTCATGGGGATACGTGTTAATAGAAATTGGTTCGAATAATATTTGCAGCATGGAATAATATTTCGACGAGAATTAAAAGAACAGTAAGAAATAAGTTAAAGGGAATAACTATAATGATTAATAGATGCTGGGACAGATGCTAATAGAAATAGGCTGAAACTGTGAATTTCTAGAGATTGAAATTAACAGAAATGAATTAAGGGAATACTTGTTAATAATAATAATTTATTTCCTGAATTAGGTACCTCATTCTTCACTTCATACTCCATCGCGGAATTAGATACGCAATAATTTTTCTGCCATCGATGTCCTCAGAATTCTTGTTCCACTATTACTTTCCAGCAATTAATTACCATACTCCTAGCTATTTCATTTCGTTTCACGGAACGCTACCCCACATTTGCACAATTTTCTTCGATCATTCTCTGGAATGAAAGAACGCGTGGCGAATATAGGTCACTTTTTAAATACCCAATAAAATTACGCGAGTCTCGACGAGGTCCTTCTATCACGAAGTACAAAAAGACGACGAGGCATTAGCAGGTTCGATTTTCTCATTACCCCTTTTTTCAACCCACGTTCCGACTCCATCCTTAATTGAATTGAAACATCCTTCGCATGTTCGATAAAGTAAAGTTAAGAGTCGCGGAGAGCCCATGGAGCAGAGGGTGAACTTCGTGCGAAAGGAAGATAAACGGAACCTTAAACGGCGGATTTACCGTGGAAAATCCGCGAAAAGGCGTCAAGTCACGCGACATTAATCGCCTTTTGCTTTCGTATTCAGCATTTCCCTCGCAAGCTGGCGCCATGTCGGGCGCAAAATTGGAAAAATCGAGATTTTTCACGCGAATGGGCAAATCGTAGGAAGGAGGCGCCTGAAAAGGTGCCATTTCGTTCCCATTTTCGATATCCTTTCAGCCGCGACGGAACGACGGATTTTTTCTCCTCTTCGCCTTGATTTTCTCGTTGATTTTTCTTCCGTTGTTAGAGAAAATCGATCCACGAGATCGGCTTCGATATAAACGGATTTTTTTACGATTTTCAATTAAGCAGCTGCTCGGAGCCGGCTCTTTAGCTGATTCGGGTGGGATTCACGGTTTCCCGGGATTACGCGCGTGATGCGTTCTCATTGGAAACCTTCCACGACCAAAATGAATTAAAGAGATACGATTTCCATAAAATTGACCGTGTTAATACCGTATGCAAAGTGCTCGAAGCTGAAGCGAGCCGCGCTTGCAGTTCTATTGACGAAAGCTCGTTAATGGTTTTCGCGCAGGATAAATATCCTGTTGTGCCTCAGCTTTCAGCTGGGATTGAGAGAACGGAGATTTAAACGCGACAAACGTTCTCGTTTTAATAGACTGTATGATATTTTAATACAGCGAGTGCTCGGTAATCCGGGACTATTATCTCTCGTTGAAAATTAATCCGTCTTAAAGATAAGGAAATGTTGCAGATCGTTAGTTTTGTGTCTCGAGTAAATCGGTAAGAGTCACTGGTATTTCCTTAATCTTCCTCCTGTTGCATTGTTCTTCCCGTGTATCGTCGATGAATAATTCATTCGTGAACAGAGATATTCCTCGATGAACAAAGGATCAGAAATTTTTGTACAAATTACAAAACACGATATCAGAACGATATACATCGTTTGACCTGAGAAATTTAAGTCTTCGTTAAGAGGAATACAGAGAAAATAATTCTTAGTTTGTATTTTCAGATATAATAGGTAGAGATATAAGACGGAACTTGTTTATTGGATTTTTTAATATTAAATCTACCGGTCTGTGTCGTGTATTTAAATACGGAGAGGAAACCGAATGAATGTTTAATATATTCAGAAAATTTTCAGCACCCTCGGAACTAAAGAAACCGAAATTTTCTTTAATTCGGTGCGAGACTCCTGGTAGGGAGATCGGGTCGAACACGAGTATCACGGGCGAGAGCCGTGGGTCGTAGAGAGAACTGAACGTAAACAATATGGATCAGGCTCGTAGTTAATTTCCAACGATGTTTTCCTGTCTCAGTTGCGTGTTATTCTTCGCAGTGTTCGGACGAAATGGCTTGTGTGTCAAAGTGTCTCAACGTGACCGACGTTGCTGTTGCCCGTGGCACGGTGTTAACGCTTAACAAACGGGTCAAATCTGCTCTGTCTTTCTCAACTTCCGAGCATTTTTTAGGAGAATTCACTTTCTAACTCTGATGAT